AACAAGAGGTTGCCGCCAATACCACATCTGCTCATTTTAGATAACAGGTTTTTATGGCAGACTTTTTGGACAGGGTTTTGAAGATTCACATACCAATGTCTACAGATTTGCCTCGATTAGTTGCAAAGCTCCACTCGAACACAGTATCAACAAAAATTTTTGTGGCAGAAGCTCTATTTAGGAATCCGTGCTGTTTATGGGGATAGAACCGGAAAGATAACCATTATAATAACTTCTCATGAATAATTTACTCCATGATCTTAACGGGTGTGCAAACCAAACCTGAGTGGGCGAAAGTTATTAAGGAAAGCACAATTAACCTTTAAAATGGCCTATATCAAACTTTTCCACAAAGTAGGGACTTCTTCTAATAACACAGAGATGCAAAGATATGGGCAAGTGAAGCCGCAGGCAACGAGGGCTTCTGGTACACTATCTGACGTCTGACGTATTCCATCAAAGTTTCTGTCAAAGAAGAAGGCAGTTTTCTCATAAAATGATACACATGTGAGGGATGAAAGTAAACAGTGTACAAAAACGAAAAGGTTGCATTGTAATATCATCACTCACACGTGTATCATCGTCAACGTTTTGAGCGACAGGAGAGAAGACACTAGCAAAATAGGACTCGAAGCTTTTGCCTTGTCATTATCACTAACGTGTAAGGTTTAAGGTGCCAGAAAAATCTTCGAGAGTAGGAAGATGCAAATAGCTTTTCTTCTTTCCAAATACGAAAGGCGTTTAGATGACAGATGACATCCCATAGCAAGCATTCGTTTACGATATACAGATATACTTTCATGTGATGGTCTATCTCAGCACAAGCTGTTTTGTAATACTGATCAACTAAAGAAATAAAAAGCTATTTAAGGAGCTCTTGCTGTTGAGCTATCAAGGCTCGAATGTTTGGTGCAGGAATGAAATCCTTGCTTAACTTTTTGAAACGATTCCAGCTGGGTTCCAGTTGAGGTGGAATCGATCCCATGCTCACATGATTTTTTTAATCTATATCAACGTAAAGGCGTACAGTGAAAAGACGGTTTCATAATCTTGTAAGTCCTCTTATCTTCAAACCTGGCATGGTTTTCTTGGTTATGAACAATTCCAGTTATCTTGTTTTGTTATGCCGTATACAGGTTGTTAATGATAATACAATTTTCTTACTTTTTGTCAGTGTATGAAAAACGCAAATTACTCTTGAATCATTTCATATGATCATGTGTGTCATTGCACACACATCCACCTTTGGCGTCCCCATCCTAGATGCGTAGGAGAAACAACCATTTAGGTAAGTGTTTTTTTAAGGTGCTCTTAACATTTTCTTTCTTTTCAAGGTACTAGTTACTTCAAAGTAATGTAATCTATAACAGTCGGTAAGTCTTGCGTTTTTGCGTTTGCAAGTCCAGGATGAGGAGCCAAAGATGAAGTGTGTGTGCAGTGACACACTTGATCATATAAAATGATTCAACTGTACCACCACTGCGCTATTGGTTACGCCCGCACAGCCCGCTGCTAATGCGAGAAAAGGGAGGAAATCTCGCCTCCGAGGGTTCTTGCACTTCCGCCGCCAGCTTCGGCTGGCACCACTGCACCTCATTCAATCGCCCCTCATTTTTCTCTATAATTGTTTTGTATCCTTTATGTACCGTTCGCACCCATGTAACATCCTCATTACTCTCGATATCATCTACCGTCTATTGTAATCTCATTATTTACTACCCTCATCTACCTCTTATGTTACGCCTGTATACCTGTCTGTCTATTGTATCTCTATGTACTTGATTTCTATAACGTTATGTTGTAAGGATGAACTTTTGTAATGTCATGTTTTATGTAAAAAGTGGATAAAGTCCTTACAATAGCTCCAAATTATTGAAATTTTACAGCAGGACGCCGTCTTCCCAGTCTAAAAGGTATCACATTGTGATAAACGTTCTGAGCCGTCAAAACTCCTCCTACTTGTTTTTCGATTCGTGGCCAACCTTATATTTCGCAGAACGATGCGATAGATACGGAAGTGTATCACTTGTAATTGATTTTTTATTCTTTGTTTAGTTTCGGATCTCGCGGAAAAATGTAGGATGCTTCATAGGCTTTTTGTGCAGAAATTTCTTGTTCGCAGGTCAGAATTTTGCACCTAATTTCGCAACCAGCGCCGTCAGTCCCAGCATTCTGTGTTTTCTCAGCAGACTTATCATGCTTTGCCTCTTTTTGCTAGCTAAATGTTCGTTAATCCGTACAGTCAACGGTCGGCCAGTCTCAGCGATATAAATGGCAGAGCACTCTATGCATTCAATTTCATAAATGACGCCGGGTTTTTCACAATTACCAAGTTTTTCCTACGGGCAAACTACGCAGGCACGTCAGACACGGGCGGTAACATACATCTTGCTGCGGAATATGCCTTGTGACGTTGTCTCGTGTTATGTCGACTGAAATAACATCATCGTCAAGCTATATACGAACTCTTCGCGTTCGTACCCACTGCGCCGTGCACAAAGAACGGATGCCTTGCGCGTCCGATCAGCAGTTTTCTCACAGCTTATGTTTATGTTTATGCTTATCAGTAGGCTTATTGGTAGATTCTTGAGCGCATTGGTATTTGTTTATGTTCTATCGCGTATATAAGTAAAAGATATAAGTTAGCTGTCATGCTTGCTCTTAGTTTCTTTATGTTCTTTTCATTTATTATTCGTTGCCTGCTTTCTCTCTCTGGCTTCACAGCTTCACAGTCCCACAGAATCACCTCTATCACAGTGTCACAGGCTTCATCACGGCTCCACAGAACCTATCACAGCGTCACAGAATATTTGAATACCATGATACTAGTTGCTTGGTAGTCATAATTTGCATTTGTTTGGTAGTCATACTCGCTTGTGTAGACTTTTAACATTAGCACAAAAAAGTTTAATTACCCACGTTTGAGGTGTTGCAGTCTAGTATGCCCGCAAACCAAGCCCAGAAAAGTCCCGCGTGGCAGCAAACGCACAGTACTGAACAAGCTGTGCTTGTATCAGAATCGTTTGATAGCAGTAATTACCCTTTCGAATGTAAAAGGCAAGCACAAGGTATTTTGTTGATAGCTCGTTTTCTTGTCTTTGTCGTAGTTCTTTGTGTTGCTGGGTCGTATACCATATCCATTTAAGATCATAATTTTGGCTGCTAACTTTACGATTTATGCCTTTTGCTACTGCCGTTACAAATGCTTGTCGCTGTCTTAACATGTTGCGGACAACGGCGCATCTAACAACCATTGATTTCGCGTGCAAGATGTATTCTTACTGCTCTTTTTACGGTACCATTTTATGCGCACCGTGCCGTCAACAGTTCTTTTAAAGTACATAAAGTACTCGTCCATCTCGGACTGTGTTAATGTAACTATGCAACAGTCATCGACATAGCGGTAATACATAAGTGGATCTCTGAATAGCACCGGCTCTTCTTTGCTTATGAAGCATATGGCAAACACTGGTGCTAAGCGTTGGCTCACCGCCAGCTCTTGTACTTGTGCAAAAAAAATTTCGACCATTTGAAGATATTGCAAGCAAAACGTTCCTTAATAAGCGTCATGATGCGCGTTTTGCTGAAGCTATACGTCAACATTGCTCTACTATTTGTCTCGAGCATCTCAGCTAGCGCCCGCAAAGATTTTACATTAGAGTATACAAGACGACACATCAAAAGACTCACTTGCGCAGTCTGATGTTGACATTGTTTTGCGCAAAAGCTCAAGGAAATGATTAGTGATGCTCAAATGAGCAGGTATTTTGAGCAAGAGTTGGTTGATAATTTTATAGAGAAACCAAGCTATACGGTCGACTGGTCCGTTCACAATTGATGATGGGCCGTTTCTTGTACGAAATAGCGGCTGCGGATTGCATCTCCGACGTAAGGAGTTTACGCGCCTTGATCTAACCGTAAACCAGAGCAAGCGAGGTTTCTAGTTGAAGGCAGTGGCTCGGCAAATCTCAACCTAGTCAAATTTGCGCTTACCCGAGGTTTTTCAATGCGCTGATCCCAAAGATCCACCTAAAAGCTTGAAAACGGCGAATGAGCGTTTTTTAATGCCCTTTCCTTTAATATTGGACGAGTGGAGCAAGGCCAATGACGTTAAATCGTGGCAGGACCCAATGGTTATAGCGTTGCGGCGGGCAGCCTCCAATGGTGAAAAGACATGCAACTCGTCCAAATGCGTGTAAAATTGGCCTGCGCGTGTAAGTTTGAGAGCGATTTTCTCGGCAGGGAAAGCATGCTGTGCAACAGGAGTTGCACTGTTTTCATAGTTGGGCAATAAGGAACCTACCTCGTTGAAATCCCGAGTTGTTGGATTATGCCGATCCACTGCCTTTAAGCCGATTAAGAAACCTTTCATTCAAACCAGCTTCTCTTCCTATCACTATCCATATGTGGTTTAACCGTTTGCATTGTGTGAGAAACTCTCTCTCTCTCACTTGAGGGTTGGTAAACCGTTTTATCCGACAAGTAACTCGGTTATCTCCCGATCTAGAGTCCGAGGCATGACGACGAATTTCCCGCCTTTATCGCTGACCGACAAACGGATGGTGCCGTTGTTAATTAGTTTAAACCCCTGCTGCTGTGCGTAGGTCATGTTGAACTTTCTTACAGTTTTCTTGTCATTGAGAACATTCAATATGCTCAGTGACAGTACACGGAACTTGATGTCTAAAGCGGCATAAGGTTCAGGTTCTTTGTAGAACGATGATGAAAGGAGTGGGGAGGGGGGGGGGGGAAACGTTCGTCTACTCAAACTACTGGGGGGGGGGGGAGGGGGTTGTGTATTAGCATGCTTTAGCTTGACTGGAAGCTGGTCTCTTAATCTTTGTGATGATTCTAAAACACTGCGGTACGTTTTCTCGTTAACATTTTGTGTGGGTGCAAAGGAATGCCCTAAGCTCAGAAATCAGGTCCAAAAAACTAAAAGAACATTCACACGATTCAATGTAACGATACAGGTGACCGTGATTCTTGGACATAATGGTGCAGGAAAGAGCACTGTGTATGCAATGATATGTGGTACAACTTCAGTGACCAAGGGTAAGTCTGCAAACTTTCATCAGTAAAGTTCCTTCTAGTTTGAAACCCCCTCTCACTCCAAATGCAGGCATAATTTTTTTTTTGCACGTACTCAGAAAAGTTATGTAAAATTGCAGGTTGTTATCTTAGCCACGTTACAGCAATTTTTCTGCGCACAGAATAACAGCAAGTTTTTCTTGAGATTAACGTAGACTGAAAATCTCACAAACAACACGAATGGTTCGCTACTTGAGATAAAAGTACCAACGACGTACTCTTCTTCAAACCACTCATCTACTTCAATGCACTTCCATTTGAAATTTCATCCATCGCACCGAATTCCTATGTCTCAGGTTCATCTGCGTTCTCAGAGAATTACTGTGGATCAACACATTGTTTAATTGACTCAGTTCGTTTTTTTCCACAACGCGGCAAGCTTCGTTTGCAACATCTGTTATCTATCAGAACCAAAGAAACCTTAGTTTTTGTTTAAGCTTTCAAAGTAACTTATACTTATACTCAACGCACACTTGTGAAAGGTTAACCGCAAGTTTCAATGCAGCAACCTTGTTCTGGTGCATTTCAGACATGACCTTCTAAGTTAGAAGGCCATGTCTGAAATGCAGAACGAAAGTTTTTCTTTATTGAAGCAAAAATTTGTGTTCTATATTTGTAGCAACTATCATAATTATTCATGCTCTGACCTGCGTTTGAAAATCGTGCGTGTCTAGTTTTACTATTGAAGTGATGCTCGAGTTTAACCATTTAACCCACACGAAGCTCAGCCATTGCAGCTTTTATCGCCCCATAAAGGGAGAGTTGAAAAAAGACAAAGTTATCGACATGCTTCTGTTTCAAAAAAAAACATAGTGGTATATTGAAAGATGTGAAGGCGGTTTTGAAAGCCAATCAAAAGGATTCAATAAATCAAGAAATTGCTTATTCTTCCAGCCAATTTTTTCAGGTTTCCTATTTTTTTTCAAATGTCGGATGGCTTACAGTTATAATACTGCCGCGACTTCTATTTCATTTTTTCAAAGAGTTAGCGACAATTTTTGCCATCAAACTCCTCAAGTGTGAACAGATGTGAACTCCCTCAAGCCAAAATTGAACTCCCTACTCTTTTTCTAATGGTGGCACGAAATCGAGTAAAATGGGGTGGCTAGATGAAAATGGAAAAAACGAAGTCCCCTTGACTTTTGGGAATTTTTACGAAGTCCTCTTTGACCCTCAACCAAATTTCCTCTAAAAACCTGAAAAATTCCCCAAAATCCCCCAAAAAACGAAACGTCGACTAAAAAAAAAGTCGCCGTCGCCAATTTTCCGTGTCTCTTCGGTCACAAAAACGAAACCCCCTTTGCTTTTCGTCCCAAAAACGATATTCAGCTTGCTTGTAAGCCACCTCGTGCCGAGCCCTGTATATGAATATCTATTTTAACGTTTACATTTATGCCTGTCTTTTTTGTTCGTATGCTCCAAACAGACACTTTTGATTCCAAACGAATGACGCGAACGTATTCAAGTGGAGAGACACAGGTTTTAGGAAATGTGCTACCATTAGGAATTACGGCAGTTTTTCTGTTTCCTTCAAGGCACCATCCACCTAGCATGGAGTCGATGAGATTTTGATGTCTAAAGTAGCGGTGCCTTTAACTGTTTAGATACCCTACTCGAAGTGGCAAAACTTGTTTTTGGAGCGAGAAAATTGCTTTAAAAACTGCTTTGGATGACGAGTTCTCTACTTTGGCTACTCCTACTCCCCTTCGGCGTTGGTCCCCCGTGAACACAAAACCAATCATAGTTGCGACAGTGTGAGGATTCGCTCACCCTTTCCCCTCTCCTCTTTCACCCTTGAACCAGGACCAAGGTGACCCCTTCACCGGAAGCAGAGAAAAAACAAGGAGATGTCTGTACGGAAATTGTTTGTGTATCGCAAAGGAGGAAGAAGATTTATAGGCATTCACAAACTTCCAGGAGGAAAAAATAGTAGCATCTGTAGCTGCACAGCAACGTCAGCTAGGAAAGTAACGTGGCACAACGTTCTCCTCTGGTTTCGGAAAATGCCTAGAGTCCGTTCATAGTTCTACTCAGTAAATGTGCCTAGTGACTTCTTCTGATTTACGAGTTTTCAAAAAAAAAATTCATAAATTTTGCAGATGAACAGCTGATGCAAGGAAATCACCCTCGGAGCCGCCTCGTCCTCCGCTTTCAGAAATTATACAGTATGTCTGAGATCCATGTATAAGTAATTTTTGGAGATTTTTGAGTTTTTAGCATAAAAAATACATAACTCTTGTAGATGAACATCTTGTACGCCGAGATAGTCATCGTTGTAACCGTCTCGTCCTCCGCTTTCAGAAACTGTACGCTTTGCATGAGGTCCGCTGAAAAAGTGCCTGGTGAAGGGTAGGTGAAACTTCTACAAATGGAGTTTCCAGGTGGAGATTTTTTTTACTATTGTAAAAACGTCTACTTGAGAACTTCCATTATGAGAGTCTCACCCACCCTTCACCAGACATTTTTCAAGGGACCTCATGCAAAGTGTATATCTTCTGAAAGCGGAAGGCGAGACAGTTTTGATGGTGACTTTTTTCTTGTACAACTTGTTAGTCTACAAAAGTTACGGATTTTTTTATCCTAAAAAATCCAGAAATCACTCGGCACATATTTCATCAGGCACTTTTTCCAACAGACTCATGGCAAACTATATATTCTCTAGCAAAGGACAAGATGGTTTTCGAAAAAGTTGCTGACGTTACGTTCATCTACAATAATTACGAATTTCTTCTTTTAGAAAATTGTAAACGCTCATAAATTGTCTACCTCTTTCCCGAAACAATGTTCTCGCATACACATCTTCTGTTCTGTGTATTTTTAAAAATAGACAGGGTGGTTCCAAACCTACTTCCTAAATTAGTCATGACCGCACTCAAAGGAAATTAATCGCAGAGAATGACAAGAGCACAATCGGAAAGAGCAAGGCGGAATTGTTAGCGGTCACATACCTGACTCATGCCAGCTACCGCGCTCGCATATCATGGCATATCGTTTCCGCCGCATGCGGCACGCGTGCGCACCTTAGCTCGTGAATACCCACGACCGATGCGGGGTGACATCGCCTATATGTCTTGTGAACTTCTACGTACTATGTGATTACTTCATTGTACGGCTTCGGAAGCTGAGTTTTGAGGCTCGAAATCATGCTAACTCTATGGTAAGGTTGGAACTTGGTTAAAAAACGACACGAAAACGCAAAGATTTTCCAAGCGTCAAACAAAATACCTATCGAAAGAGCTTATTTTATCTCATAGCTTTGGTAGAAGCTAATCAGAGCGCGTAAACCACAAAAGAACGGATATTTTTGGAGCGCAATCACTCCAAAAGTATTAGGTTGGCACATAAGTAATGCAACTTTTTATATAACTTTTGTGCCTCTGAACGTAGCGCATTCATTTTTTGGCATATAAGGACTATGATGTAAGCTTCTAATGCACATGTTTTTGCCGAATTTTATCATCTCATGTAAGGATTACGGTAGGTTTACGGTACTATGGGAAAAGTTTTAGAATGCATCAGATTTTGCTGAAACTTGACCTATAGGGCTTATTCGACATGCTAATCACAAAAATGAGATCCGTTTCGCATGAAAAGGCCTCGTTCGTGAGATCAAAAAATGAATTTCACTTTAGCGGCAAATGAATATGATATTCGTGTTCACCGTATAGTACAGTGCAAAGTTGTAGCGAATTCTGACTTTTCACAGCTTAGTTATTGACAAATTGCCTTCAAAACTTGACGCATTGGACTCGTTCAATTTCTCAAAGGCGCCCCACCTTAATCTGTGTTCAAATTTCATTTCTTTTTCACTGATTCCAATGTGCCAACTTCCAGCTACATGCTGCCTATAGTTGCTTTTTCATATGTTTGAATCAGGTTTCGTAGGGTTTCATGTTTGTCAAAAAATCGTGAAACCTCGATTTTCAGCAGTTTTCAAAAAATGCTTGGATTTTTTGTACTACGTTATAAAAAATTAAACAGTTTGCGCAGACTTGCAGTTTACATCACGGTCTACACGATGCCACAAAATGGGATTGCTACATAAAATAAGAGAAAAGTGACAGGAAAAGTTGCAAAAATTATGTGCCAACCTAATATTTAGAGCCTTCTGAAAAAGTAACGGTCCTCTTTTTGAACTACACTGGATTCAGTGTGTAGCAGAAATGTTAAACTTACCTTTGTTTGAGGTGTTCGTATAATTATGAACCGCTAAAAATTTGCTTTAGGCGCAAAAACACTTTTTAGATTGACATCCATTTCCATTCTTATGGATCATATACCGTTTTCGGCTGTGTGCTATCGCGTAGTACCAGCGGCTTTTTGAGTTTCTCCCAAAAAGTCCAAAAACTTACAAAATTTGGGATGTTCGCATAATTATAAACCGCACTTTACCTTTATTTTCTTATGTGTACGAAAACTCGATAAATCAATAGAAGGGGAAACAGTGAATGGTCACGAAAAATAGCCTCTTTTCTGCGCCGTCGCTTATCTATATGTGACACGAGCAAAAAACAGCTTAGTCGGGCCTATTATCAAACCCATGTTTTTGAGAAGGCCAACTTTCACAATTTTTCTAATTTTTTATAACGACACTCGGAAGGAGTCCAGGTAATGGATGGATAGAGCAAACCCTACAGGAAACAGCACAACTTTTTCCTACTTTTTAAAGCTCGTCATAATTTCTGTTTAGATTTTGATGGAACCACCAAATTTTAGCAGACCCGTCTCAGACACAAATGCATCAAACACCAATAAATCTTCGGCTTTGAAACTTACAAAAATGAATTACGGTTTGACGCTATTTTTACAAAGCAAATGAGTATTCACCGCTTCAGATTAGCATCTTTCGAAAATTCCGGGTACAGCCTGGGTGCCTTGGAAAACTGAATCATGATGGTTTTATCCCAGAAAACTTGATAATCGGAAACAAAAAACAGCTGGTAGAAAGAGGAGAAAAAGCTGCT